GCCCCACAACTGCCTCACACACCTTCCCGGCACCTGCCCCAGAGCGGTGGGTGGAGGGCCGTGGGAACCTGGGCTGTGCTGTAACCACAGAGCAGTGTCACAGGCTGCCCGCTGTGTGTCTCTACCCTGTGGAGGGCGGGGTGAGGGTGAGGAGCTCTCAGGCTGCTCAGGTCATTGCTCACGTAAATGTGTATGCAGCCCGTGGAGGGGGGAGGGGGCGGGGGTCTGTGGATGCGGTGTGTGCATCCCTGCCCCCGTGAGCCTCCAGGGCCTCACGTAAGGTGGAGAGTCAGATTGTGGGGCCACTTTTACCAAAAGCCTGCGCTGAGCCCCAGCCCAGGTGGGCCTCAGGTGCTGCTCCGCTGACGGAAGCCCGCCCGGTGCCAGGATGCGGGCCTCTGGGGGATGGGCCGGGAGGACGTGGGGACAGCGGGGTCTCGGAGGCGCCCAGGCCTGGCTCGGCGTTACGGGTGGGTGTGTCTAGGCCAGGGGTGGGGACCTTTTTCCTGCCAAATGATCAATGTGAGCTGCTCTACTTGGTCAAACAGTTCATTAACTCACCCTCATGCCTGGGCCGGGCCAGACCAAAGGATGTCTCAGGCCCCTACGACCAGTGGGCCCGATGGTCCCCACCCCTGGTCTGGGTCCTGTGTGTGTTCATTTTCCGTAGGGTTACGTTTTTTCAAGTTAAAGAACCGGGAGAAATATTTACAAAAATTAGGGGGAAAACTGTCTTAAAGGGTGCTGCCAGTAGGGGGTGCTGTTCTCCATGGGGGGCGGGGGGGATGGGATGGAGGGTCTGGGTGTGTGTTCCTGACACTGAGGCTCAAGCCATAACTTCCCAGCAGCTCACTGGTGCTGAGGCCCGAGTCCCGCCGGTCCACGCACACAGGGAGACACGGGTTACATGACAACGCGCTGTGCTCGGACCCTGCGGAGCCGGCAGCTGGACCCTCCGTGTCTGCCCCTCAGACACTCGGACACAGGCTGGGTGTGTTCCGAGGGCCATCTCATGACGCCCGCAGACACGGAGGCACAGAGAGGCCCCTGGTCACAGAGGAGGCCTGGGCAGAGCGGGGACGAAGCCTTGAGCCCGCCTTTGTACCCACTTGTTCCAGTCGCCCTACCCCTGAGGCGCGTCCCCCCAGCCAGGATCCTGGGCCTGATGCTGGC